ATTATTCTTACTTGTCCACAGAACCTGCTGGCTTATTCAGCCATTAAGTAGCTGCAGATCATTTCTACATAACCATTGAACATCCATTAATTCGGTCTCTAGAGGGTTGTATGTTTATATCATAATTTGACTTTATAAAAATGATTATTCTAAATCTTATGTTTCTATAAAAATATACTGTGCTTTAAAAATATGGATCATAGTATCAGCCCTTTTTCAGCCACTTCATAAGCAACACAGCTTGTTTAGAAATAAATTATGCAGTTAATGTCATAAAATATTTTCATAAAATTCAAATAAACATCAAACGAAAGTTCTCAGTCTTAGACAATTCGATTTGAACGAAGTTAAAATAAAGTAGCAGACGATAAAACACCGAAGATAAAAATTTACCCTTACAAATATTTTTTAAAAAAAAAGGGAAAAAGAGAGAAATTAAAAAAAAAATAGTTAAAAATTTGAATAATATCATCTATAATTAAAAAATAGCTTTTAATATAGTATTAATAAATATTTAGGGAAAAAATTCATATAATTAATTCTCCGTGAAATTTTATTTCAAATTTAAGATTAAAAATAGCTGTGGCAATTAACCGTAACAAAAATTCATAAACCACATTTGGCGTTATTATCGCTCAAGAAAAAGATGCCAAATTTCAAAACGCGAAAATATGTAAATTCGTGTATATCTTAGAAAATTTTGAATGAAAAAGTCTAATTTTTTGCAGGTGTGCTTAGAAATACACCTACGTTAAGATGATGATAAAATTTAATAGGTTATAATTCAAAATTGTTTTCGAAAAATTTATAAAAATTATTTAAAAATAGAAATTAAAAAAATAAAACACAAAAAGTGGGTAAATTTTATTTGGAATGAACCTAAATTTCGAAATGCGAAAGGAAAAATCAAAAACGTTTAATAAAAAAAGATATATTAATAAATATTTGCCAAATTTGATTAACATTGAGGAGCTAAAATTTTGAGAGCTAATATTTTAAAAACCACTCGTGCGATTTTCACAAAACTTAACATTTTGGCATAATTTGAGTCGTAAAATCGAAATATGGAAAAAAATTGGTATGTTATATCAGAAAAAGACCAATTTTGTGTCAAAATACCTATGTTAGACTAGTGCTATATATAAATATAATATATATCCTAAGTCGCGCTTTCGAGACATGAAAAACGCAGTTTGAATTTTGTCAATCGGCTCAGTAGAACGGGAGATAGAGCACTGTCCCTTTTTTGTTCTTTTCTTCTTTTTTGAGCAGTGTACATTGCTCACTTGCGTTAAGTGCGTTGCTTCGTAAATTCCCACATTTTCACACCGTTTTTTTAAAAAAAATTACCGTTCACGATGAGCGAAAAAAATGGTACTGGAGAGTTTCATTTAGACGATTTAACAGATTGTCCTGACACTTATTTAGAAGAGGGAGAATCTGCGGCTGAGTGGCCGGCCGGTCGGACGTTCGTATGCTGTTGAACCGCTAGCGGTTGGTAAAGTGTTAAGTATTTAAGTTGTGGCTTTTCGCCAAGTAGAATTAGAAAGAGAGAGTGAGTCTTCTAGCCACTTTATTTCCCGCGTGCTTTCAATCAGTTGCTGTCCGCCTTTAAGGCCAGAGGTTTAGTCCTCTTGATATTGAAGATGTATAGTAGTTTTCTTGCAATTTGCGTACTACATACGTAAAAATCTAAAAGGCCAGTCTTAGTGTTATTCGTCTGTGTAAAGTATTCGAGTTTAGCTCTCATTTAAATTTATTTAGTTGTAGTTCTTATTATGTTCAGACCACAACTGGTCGTCTTTGTATCCCGAAGTGCAAGAGCACCTGTAAATTGTGAAGAATAAAGGGTAGTTAAACCCTTCCCTTTCTCGTCGTCTCTTCTACAGTTAAAAAGAACATAGTTTAGTTAAACTCACTGTTCTATTCAGGACTCTTACATGTTCGCAAAGCAGACAAGGAGAAATAGTAGTCCTGATAGAAGACCCAAATTTTTATTTAGCTGAGAGGGAAAAATATTTCTAGACAAGCATGCCAACAGAAAAAGTTAAATTCCTTTTGCTCATGCAGCAGCTACTGCCATCGAATGAGGGAAAGAAATATTTTAGCTGAATTCCTAACATTCAACCACCTTTAATTTATGTTGGAAGCCTAAAGTTAAACACAAAAATAAAATAGGGGGTAAACTTTAAAAAGCGGATGTACAGAAGTTTTCCAAGATGGTTCTTACTTCCGGTACTTGTGCGCAGTCTTTTCTACTTAGAAGGATGTTTATGACTTTGCCTACGGCCAATTAAGTCCCTTTTAGTTGTTTAGCTCAATCAGTACTACATCGTCAGTCTGCATAACTTGAATTCTTTCGATTTCTGAACAAGAATTGCCTCACATTCTTTTCAGAATCTATTTCTCAGCTGAACTTTAATACACTGTGTGATGTATGGGTTACGCCAACCAACAAGATGTATAGAGGGCGCTGGCTCTTAATCTGAAGGCGCCAAAAGTTTTAGTTTCCAAGAGGGAGACCGACAGAGAGGTCATACGGAAGGCTCGTGGGAGCCATTAAGGAGAACGAAATTAACTTGTATTACTTAATATATATATGTATTTCAGTTATTAAAATTAGTTTTGTGTTTGTGAAATAAATGTTTAAAATACAAGAAGATGGAGTTATTCCTCTATGAGGCGGTGGATGAAGAGAGGGATGATATCACACACTGGTTATCATAAATTAAGGAAAAATCACAAAAATCACGATTACTCAAAAAAGTTACATGTAGAATTTTATGAAACTTATCCACAATATACAACACATAGTAAGGTATCAAATAACATAAAAATAAATTACCAGACAATTATGGTAGTATAGAAATCAGCACATGTATAAAATGAAGAAATCGAGTGTCAGTTTACTATAGGAAAAGTACCTTCAAGAGAGAATATGGTCGCCTCTAGAAGCAATACAGCACATAAAGTGATGCGTGATGCTTTCAATTATGCGGTCTATCAGTTCCAAAGGAAGCGAGAGCCATTGCTCTTGCAAAGCTGTTGCAAGCGCGGCAAGGGTCTGAGGAGGCAGACTGAGAGCAGCTAAAGTCTTTCTAAATAATCCCAAAAGTGCTCGATAGGATTCAAGTCCGAGGATTGAGCTGGCCACTCCATGCGCATAATTGTTTTCTGTTGAAGATAATCATCTACGATGCGAGCCCTGTGTGGTCTTGAGTTATCGTTCTGTATCAGGAAAACATCACCTATTTCTCCCGCACATGGGCGCACATAAGCATCAAGGATGTCATCTGTATAAACCGGAGCATTCACGGTTTCCGTTGGAAAGACATGGAGGTCTGTGCGTCCAACCAAGGAGCTGCCACTCCAAACACAGACACTGCCCCTTTCGTATGCATCTCTTTAACGGATGTTTGACGGATGATAACGGGTTCCAGTTTCTCTCCATATCAAATAACGCCTACTATTGCTTTCTAGGCTAAAACTGGACTCATCCGTAAACAGAACATACCTCCACTGATCAAGCGTCTAGTGGACATGTTGTCGTGCCTACTGCAAACGGTCCCTCCTATGGCGTGACGTGAGCGGCACGCAAATGGCTTATCGTCTCGCATACAGACCACCTTCGTGAAACATTCTACGCACAGTTGACGTTGACAACGACCTTCCGGTGGCTGTAGCAAGGGAGGATTTAAGAAGAGTCGGAGTAACGGTTCTATTCCTGCGTGCACATTATGTCAAATATCGGTCATCAGCGCTCGTCGTAGCAGTTGGCCGTCCTTGGCTAAACCTCCTAGAGGCCGAATCTGTGTTTTGAAATCACCTCCAAAGTATATACCACAGAAGGACTCACATTTAGCCATCTGGCCACTTCTGTTTGACTTTATCCTGCCTCTAGTCTTCCAATGGCTCTCCATCGCAGTTCTGCAGGCAAATGATGCCTGGAGGTCATTGTTACGAATTGGCTATCTCAGATTTCTGATGTCACTATCACAGAGAAATATGTGGGCTTGCTCTTAAACATGGACTTTCATTCTCTTCGCAGATGACGTATTCCGAATGCAGCGCCACTAATTTACATATTACAATTTTACTCAGCTACTCTTACTTGGCAACATATTCAAGTTTTACATGGTTTGGCTTACTTTTGAGGGAGTTATCGCTATTTTTGTGATTTTTCCTTAATTTGTGATAACCAGTGTATTTTCCGATTTTCAGTATCTTTTTCGAAGTTTCTGGGAGTTAATTTTATCTAGGTATCTTCAGGAGAATACATTTTGTCGCGGACGCCATAAATTAATGTAATAAATTGTGAATTACTGAGAAAGGGTGTCAGAATCCACTGAGTTAAGGCAGGTTCGATGATAATTGTATTTTACATAAATAAGTATGAAAACAATTACCTCGTTGTTATTGACAGGGCATGATAAATATCTTATAGTGATGGTGTGTGAGCAGCAAAAATGCTCTTCATGTGGTACTAAAAACTACTGTAGATGACCCAAACTTTTATTTTGCTGGCACTTTCACAACACGACGTACACATCACATAGAAACATTGATGGAAAATACGCATTTAGTTGCTATTCTTGAATACTACAGCACACATTGTTTATTTCCTTTTATTTTCTCCTAGCTGTAAAAATACAAAAGAGGGGCGAAACGGCCTAAATCGATTTTCCCTACATACTTGTATCAGAGAGAAAAAAAACGAAATTCTAACAAGCATGCAAACAAAAAAAAAAAAAAAAAAAAAGGCATGCCAACCTCTCACTCCTGGAGGCACTAGAGCCATCTAGTGAGGAAAAGAAATATTTTAGCTGGTTTCCCAACAAATGCTCTTAGTGTTATTTAAAATATTGTAATTGACTAAACCCGATATATTTTATTCAGACTAAACATTAGTAACAACGAGGTAAATTTTCCAGTCAGTAAGAACAATTAATACCATTTTTTAACCTGACAAAATTTAACAGATATCCTTCTTTTACAGATTGTGGAAAGAAAGTTAGATCAGATGAGTGCACGAATGGAACCCTTACTTCCAGAATTGAATTATACGACGAACCAACTTTTATATATTAGTTTAGCACAAGTGAGTTGATTTTTTGCATTTGAACAATTTGAATCCGATTGCTTAAGCATAGATGCAGAAATGCACAAAAAGCAACAAAGAATTCTTCTTATACAGAAGGCAAACAAGCCAGGGTAAGATTTTTAAGTTAGGCGGAAAGCAACCTTAATTTGGCGTAGATTGTCAATGAAGCTCTGTTGATTTCGAGCGCGATAAGTCTTATTCATCGCCAAAACTAAGGCTGCATTTTTGCCTAATTTTTAAACATTTCAATTTGGAAATATTCCTTAATAATCTAATATTTAATTCAGAAGTCAAACAACAAAAATCAGCGTTAATTTACAAAATTTTCACAGGACTAGTTTCGATGGTTTTACCGAACCATCATCTTCAGCTGCAAAACCGCAAATGAACAAGATAGGAAATAATGTTTAGATAAGATAAGAAAGCCAGGACAAGAATAAGCAAGTGGCGCCATCTGTTGGCGAAACCAGAACTAAAACATAATTTCTCTAAAAGCCGAAGGCAAATTTGGATTGGAATTAGGATCGTTAACTAGAACAGAAAGATTTTTATGAATGTGAAATGCCTCTAGAAAATCCACTTCTCCAATGGAAGATGTTTTTTGAATAATTTTGGCAGCAGAAAAATTGAAAGTGTGATTTTCGGACCAACAATGTTGAGCAACAGAAGACTTCTGTGTTTCCTTTTTTTCTAACATATGCCTCATGTTCTTTGACGCGAAATTTTAAGGCTCTCTTAGTTTGGCCAATGTAAATTAAACCGCACTGGCAAGGAATCCTATAAATACCCCAGGAATTCATATCCGGAATGGGGTCCTTGAGTATAGAAGTTGGAATTTTATTGATGGGAGAGTAAACAACCCGAAAGTTAAATTTCTGCAAAATATGTGCAACTTTATAGCTAATTGATGGAAAGAAGGGAATGACAACAGAATTTTTATAATCTCCTAAAATAAGAGTGTAACTTTTAGTGTGTTGAGATGAGAATTTTTTAACTGCTTGATTAATAATGTTGGGTGAAAAGCCCCTGTCAATAGCTATTGCTTTTAAATAATTTAGTTCTTCATCAAGGGCTAGTTTGGAGGAGCAAACTTGAAGAGCACGGAAAACATAGGAATAAAATGAAGCTAACTTTTGTTTAGTCGGATGACATGATTTAAAGTGTGGTGGAAGGCAAACCGATGAAGGTTTACGGTAAACTGTAGTACTGAAGTTGGATGTGTTACGTGTGACCAGAATGTCGAGAAACGGAAGAGAATTGCAAGTCTCAAGTTCAAAAGTGAACTGAATAGCAGGATCAATAGAATTCATTGTTGAAAGAAAGAACTCTATTTAAATCATCTTTATTACCTTCAAACAGGGTAAAAGTATCGTCTACGTAGCGGAACCATGCCGGGAAGTTTAAAGTTTCAAACAATTTTGATTCATAATAATGCATGTAGATATCAGCCAGGATGGGACTGAGGGGGCTTCCCATGGCTAATCCCTCAGTTTGCTTGTAATATTTATTTTGGAAAACAAAATGTTGTTTGTTTCAAACAGAGTTGAGTGAGAGAAATTAGCTCATCAATTTCGATGCAAGAGAAATGAAATTCGTGAAGTCTGGTTTCTAGACATCTTAATGCACCCTCCACTGGGACATTGGTGAATAATGATTTTACATCAAAAAAAGAAACCATGAGTAAATTACGAGGAGAAATGTTTTTAACCTTTTTTACAAACTCTATTGAATATTTTATGGTGTAAATGTTATTGTCTAATAGAGTGGAAAATCTAGAAACTAAATATTTAGCTAATGGATACGAGGCAGTACCTAAATTTGATACAATAGGGCGGAAAGGAATACCACTTTTATGAATTTTGGGAAGAGCATATAATTCGGCACAATTCGCAACAGATGGGATAAGCGAATGTTTTAAGTTGCTTGAAATGATTTGCGAAGATTTGATCGCAGTTTTATTTTGGATAAGTCCGAAGGTGAAGGATCTTTAGGGATCGGATTATATGGTCCTTCGTTTAAGAGTTAGTGGACACCATCGATGTAAGTGTTTCTTATCCATGACGACTATCTGGCCACCTTTGTCGGCCTTTGAAATGACAATATCCGGGTTAGAATGAATCTCGCGCATGTAGCTCTTTCTCTCGCAGTTAGATTTGGTTTCAAAGGTTTATTATTGAATTTCACATTATGAGCGATAAGATGCCTAATCATTTCTTTCTGTGAATCTGAAACTTTACTGAACTTGAAAGCTTTTTCGATAGGAGCCAAAATTTTGGAATCGAGGGTTTACAGGTTTGTGAGAAGTTAAAATTATATTTTAGAATTCTCTCTTGTTCTTCTGAAAGACTAAACATTAGAAATATTAACTATTGGCTTGATGTTTACAATGGGAAGATTTTTTTGAACTACTTGAACTGGAAGACTGTAAAAGAAGTTTTTCGAATTTAAACTGCAAGGGGTGTTTTTATGACGGTTAACTGCATTCTCCGTTCTAGACCAAGACTTTTGTTCAAGGGCAGTGAATTTTGGATATGTTTTAGCGAGTTCCAGATGAAGCTTATAGAGTTCATGTTCAATTTTGGACAATGTTGACGGACGTGTATCCCTTATCACGGACCGAAGTAAGGCAAGTTTGCAATTTAACAGAATTCTTGAAACGCGACTCGAAGGTTTTGATTAGATTTGATTGAATAAAATTGGGGATCAATTTTTTACATTTACATTAAGTAAAAAGTCAAGATGATTCAGGAATTTTTGCCGTTTCAGGCGTAATTTAGTGAAACGATTAACGGATGAAGGCATGATAAACAATGCAGAAAATCAAACTAAATTAACTGAGCAATAATAAAGTACACACAAAATAGCAGAAAATCCCTCACTGAAATGAATAGAAAACAAAATGTTTGTAAGCAAAATGCATGAAATCAGACAAGCAAAGCACAATATCCAAATGTACAAAACATAAACATAACTGAAAATTGCAAAAATGTACTCACCGAAACTCCTACAATCACAAAATGGCGGCACACCACGTGCAAAAAAGAAAGCAAAATGTAAGCCTGTTTGGGGCTTCTATAATTAAGACACAATAACACGCCGAACAAATACTAATTCAGAAGTCAAACAACAAAAATCAGCGTTAATTTACAAAATTTTCACAGGACTAGTTTCGATGGTTTTACCGAACCATCATCTTTAGCTGCAAAACCGCAAATGAACAAGATAGGAAATAATGTTTAGATAAGATAAGATAGCCTGGACAAGAATAAGCAAGTGGCGCCATCTGTTGGTGAAACAAGAACTAAAACATAATTTCTTTAAAGGCCGAAGGCAAATTTGGATTGGAATTAGGATCGTTAACTAGAACAGAAAGATTTTTATGAATGTGAAATGCCTCTAAAAATCCAGTTTCTCCAATGGAAGATGTTTTTGAATAATTTTGGCAGCAGAAAAAACTGAAAAGTGTGGTTTTCGGACCAACAAATGTGAGCAACAGAAGACTTCTGTGTTTCCTTTTTTTCTAACATATGCCTCATGTTCTTTGACGCGAAATTTTAAGGCTCTCTTAGTTTGGCCAATATAAATTAAACCGCACTGGCAAGGAATCCTATAAATTTTTTGTTGTTTCACTTCTGAATTAGTATTTGTTCGGCGTGTTATTGTGTCTTAATCTAATATTTATTTAATAGAGGTCCTATAATATGCTATATAATTTGGCCACAAAATTTAACCTTTTCGAAAAGAGCTTTTATTTTACCGTAGACATTACTTATTACATGTCCCGTTTGTTTTCCCGGAGGAGAAAGAAAAAAGGTCTATTGATGAAACCGATAATAGCAAATTTCATATTTTCTTTATTCTATAACACAATAATTATTTATAGGTTCCTGAAAATATCAACCATAAATTTAATAGATCTAAATTAAAAGATAATCAAAGAATGGTCAAACTTTCTAAAGCCTGTTTCCTGTATTATTGTATTTAAATTAAAAAAAGGCCTAAGTAATGGCCTTTTTTTAATTTAAAAATATTTATTTTAACAAAACAATAAATTAGTCAATAATATTCGAGTTTTTTGGACTTTTCCCATAGACACAAGATGTCATTTGGCTACAACCCATTCGTTCGGCTAATTCTCGAGTGGTTAGACGCGCGTCTTCGTGCAGAAGTTGATTCAAACGCTCTTCATCGAACTCATTTGGTCGTCCGGAACGAGCGGCGTCTTCGAGGTCGAAATTTCCACTTTTGAATTTGCAAACCAATTTCTTGCACTTTCTCACTATTACTAATTCATTGAAATTCATTAATGAATTCATTTATCACTAATTCATTTCACTTTCTCCATATCTTCACAAATCACGAGATCTTCGCAAATCTCTCGGGCCGCTTCTGCAGCATTGGCGCCTTGATTAAACGCAAAAAAGAAGGTGTCGAAAATGCTTACTTTTGTCGACTTGATTTTAATGATCATGATGTCGACATTTTAATGATTATGATGTCGACATTTTAATGATTTGAAAAATAACAAAAATTAGCTCAGACAAAAAAAAAAAAAAAAAAAAAAAAGTCAAATACGCCATCTCGTAGAGGGAAAGATTCTCTTTCGAATAACACAAAACATTATGCCAATACATTTTATTTTTACCGCGTAATTTTAAACACAACATAAACGGCCATCAATTTTGTTTCAACCCAATAATTTTAAGCACGCAGGTACACTGAATAGTTCGACAAACAGAATTATTGGGTTGAAACAAAAGAGATGAATGATTATGAACTAGGCTTATAATATAAAAAGCATAAGAAATGTGGAGTAAGTTCAGAGTCTGCCAGTTGGCCAGATGTGGGTTTAGTGGGCCCCCGCAACACCCACAGTTAGGCAAGACTTTTTCGCATTGAGTAATCTTTTGTACACTGACTGCAAATCTGCGCAGTAAGTACCTACACAAATTATATTGCGACGACATTGTGGAAGAAAAAGAGATGAATGATTATGAACTAGGCTTATAATATAAAAAGCATAAGTAAAAATTAATATCTCACCGAAGCAATACTTTTGTACTCTAAATTATTGAAATAATAATTGCTAAATTACAGATAACTCGCTGTAGGTTATTTCCTATATCCTTCTGGGTAGACATCCATTAACAACGGCTCTCCTAATCTAGAATATGTTAATACGTACGTGCCTGTTTTAGGGACAGCGGGAGAGGGTTTGGGGTTACAATTAGCTTACATGTGCTTGTTGTGTAAGCTCGAGATATCGTCCCGTGTAAAAGAGGCTTCATCGGTACCGATGAATCCGTTTGTGCGAATACCAGCATGCAAGTACAACGCATTGAGGATAATCGTCATCACATAGAGCCTGTACTATTTGGACGTGGTAAGGGTGTAGTGTGCCTTCGTTCAGTATTCGTATAACGGTGGAACCATGTACATATAAAACGCATTCGGTTGTTCTAAGACGTGTTTGCGGGTTCGTATCCAATTCTCGTATCGTAGAGTTCACTTTCTCTACGATAAGTGTGTGTGTAGTGCGTTCTCGACCGAGGTGGCTACTTACTTGGAAAGCTTCTGCCTCACGCAATCTCCGATGCACTTGTCCAAACAAAGTACGACTTAACTGACGTCTGTTTGGCAAACCCTCCAGTTGCGATAATATTTGGGTTTGGTTTATTTGATTTTAATGGAAAGCACTCGAGGGCTATCTGCGTAAGGAAAATGATGGCTTCTTAGAGAACTTAGGGAAACTAGCTGGTATCTACTTTACACAAAGGGAAATCAAAGAAATCGAATCGTCTGGAATCGAATTCAGGCCAAACTACCGATGTTTAGCAACTTTACCGCTCGGCCGCTGATAGGTGTCTGGTGATATAAGGAATTATTTCATTACGCTTTGCTTGTTTTGTGATGAAACTTATAGCACGTATAACTAGTTTCCTGCTCCGAAAAAACATAATGCCTCTACCCGTTGACAATTCTGCACCCCCTTCCTCAAAAATAAAAAGGAAAGCTTGATTAAAATTAACTAATGCTTTAGTTAAGCTCAGAACCAAGACCCCCATATTTCATTCTTCGAAAACTTTGTTGACTTTGAAAGAGACAAAAGAAAAGGGGGATAAACTCTGACTCCACAATTTTGCCAGAAAAAAAAATGTGTTGTCGTCTTTTCCCCTGGAGCCCTATGAGTACCTGCTTACATTGCTTAACAATTAACTCAGTCCTGACAAATCATCATCATTATTCGAAAACTCGTTTTCGTTTTTTTATTTACTTTCTTACAGTGTTGTAAATGATGGAATATACTAACAGCCTAGAATTTTCTTTTTGCTTAGTAATCAATGGAGTAATTAGGGTTCAAGAATTCTGGTTATTGCAATTTTCAGGTTCTCGAAATATGCCGAAATCGGAATCCCTTCCGAATGCCACAAAAGATTAAGATGTGAACTCTTGTAGTTTTAAAGAGAAATTTAGATATCGTACTCGTATTTTGTCCTCAAGTTTTGTTTCCAGTTCAATTGCTTTTTCTCGATAATATTCATAGTGCTATTTATAAAATACCACCTGCAGAAACGAGATAATTATATTCTTTGGCAGATGATATGCTTTCTAGTACATAACTATTCTCAGGTTCGATTGACAGCAAATATAGAATTTAGATGTCTTTTCCATAGACAGAATTTTACTAGCGTATTATTGTACACGTTATGTTTACGAACACAGGATTTTGTATGTGGACTATTTTTGAAATAAATGAATTGGATCTCGGACGGGAATAACCATATTTCATTATTTAAGACAACATATCTATCCATTATGAATTTCCGATCCACGCAGTTTTTATCTGCGCATGTCTTTGTTGAATGAAGATTGTATCCGTGTTATAAGTCGGATCGTAAAGAGAAAGTATAAGGTCGATTTGTAGAAGAAAACATCACGATGGGAAAAAACATTAGGTAAATATTCAAAGCAAAGGCAAGATTACAGTGCGATTGGGAGTTTGAAGAATATAATGAAATGCAAAATAAAACAAACAAAGCTCGGGAAAACCGAATCTAATAAAAAAAAGGTTCAATCAAAGGAAATTTCAAATAATTTAAAGAACAACAAAAAAAAAAAAAAAAAAAAAAAAAACGCAAATAATAGTGCAATAAGAGCTTGTAAGTATAATATGAGTTCTTGGGGGAACACATTCATTCAATCAATTTTAAACACGGAGGAAATCAATGGAAGAGATAAAACAATTTTAGATTTAATTCTGTGTAACATATGAAATATATTATATAAGTGCTTACAATTCTTATTTTTAAAATAAAATGATTAATGGCGATAAATTTAAAAGAAACATTCTCTAGGATAATACAGTTTTAGAAGAAACTCTATTGGGTTTCTTTTAAATTCCCAACTTACGTGGAGGGGGGGGGGGCAAAATTACTTCAACCGGGCCTAGGTATAATCATAACTTTAAATATTTTGGATGCATCCGGCTACTTATTCTTATGTAACGTCTTTGCATTTGACGGATTATTTTAAAAAAATTCTTTTTCTTACAGATGTGGTGTTCAGTTCGTAGCCCGGAAACTGAACTTCATCACTACATGCATGACTCCCACGCACCGCCAGATGCTCGGTAAGGATAACAACATAAAGAAAAGAAATGCAGTTTCAGGTTCAGGCAGATTCTTATTTGCGTAATAGAATAGAATATTTACGTAATAATTTCAAAACGTAAACCGGATTTGATTCTTACTTACATTCAGGCAGTTTAAGTTTCAAATTGAAATTGGTGTATCCTTTTTTCAAGAATTTTAATATGTACAAAGAACTCCGAGTAATATCGAGTTAAGACAACTTCCCGAGTAACATCGAGGATGACATGCATATTAGTTGGAAATCACAATTAATTCGACAGCAGTTAAAAACCACAAGAAGAAGGAAGGAATAAATATTAATGTAATTAATTTATATTTTCAAGCAGCTTATCAGAAGAGAAAGTTAATTTGGTTTTAGTAACGAAATGAAAATTCAAAACAAAAAGAATACATTGTAAATATCAGAAGAATAATCATCATTAGAAATAACGAGACTAAGTTATAAAGAGAAATGAAGAAAACTATTTATAAAGAAAACTTAAAAACGAGAATGTCATTAAGTTCAAACTTGCATAAAAAAAAAGAAGTCGTTTAGAACTTTTCGGTTTTTGCAGAGTTCATTTCATAGGTAACTATTATTGCTGTTAAGCACAAATTTTGCTTTAATTTTTTATTTACTATAGATGGTTTTGCTTAATGCTGATAGTCTGTATCAGTAATTTTTTATCTTTCAGCAATAAACAAACTTACGTTTTTTAAGAAAGGGCTCCATTACTCAAATTCAATATATAACTAAAATATTCGATATATAACTAATAATATAATAATTATATATAACTCAATATATAACTAAAGAAAGAATCTGCATTTCAAGAAAGACCACGAAGTCTTTTCTGACGACGCAAAAATATTCTCGAGCCAAACGCTGCAAATGCATCTTTTATATAAGCGAAATAGCTTGGTTTGTTTGATTATAACAAAGCATGCTAGGGCTACCTGGTTAAGCGATGCCTTCATGGAGGATTTTTTAAAGGAAACTGACGTATCGTCGTTATACATGGAGAAAATCATGAAAAGGCCGTGCAAACAGCTCTATATCCTACAATCGAACCCGACTACTGTTCTACTAGATCTAACTACTAGTGTTCAGCAAATTTACCATTCGAACGCTGGCGGGTTGATAGTCGAAATAAAAATAAAAAAGATAATGAAGAAAAGAAGCAACTATTGCAGCATCATGAGTCGAGTAACAGGGAAAGCAGATGTTAACCAAAATTACGAGGTAAATGTTTTAAAATCCTAGTTTTCTCCAAAGTTTCCAAAATTCTTTTCTTATAATTTTGGTTTTATTGGATTTATATTTACATGAAAGAATGTCTAATAAAATCAGAATGATCAACATACAAATAGAATACGTTGTTAATTTTTTCCGTTGCTCACTCTGTATTAATTCTCTGCCAAGCTATTTCTATAAGTAGGCGTTAAAATGATGTTCAATTAAATTAAGCTACCATTGGCGAGTTGGTAAGACTGCTGAACACTGATAGTTCGAGCTGGCTTGGAATTCCGTCAAACGAACTAGTTAGATGTTTAATAGTTAGTGGTTAGTTAGGTGTTTTCGTAGTTACGTAAATGAATAGCGTAAACACGTCAGCTTCCTATAGAAAATCCTCAAGAAAAGCATCCTTTCCCTTTAAAGAGACAGCCTAGTGAGTCTTGCCATATTAAACTTAATTTAATCCAGATATTCTTTGTTTACCTTATAAATTATGTTCTCACTCCTTTCTGCATGCCTCTCAGGCACAGAATTCATATCCCGTGAGAGCATTGCGGATTTCTTCAGTCTCCTGCTATCGAAAAATTCTAAAAGACTCTACAAGTGGCGCCAGAACTAAAAGTTGGTGGATGATAATTCGTCACCATCAGGATTTGGCGACTTAATCCCTAAATCTTCAATCGCCCTTTAAAAGAGGAAGTAATGTAAGGTATTTTCTCCCTCCCTTCCGCGTGTCTTCGTACTGGAAGTGCGGTGGACGCGTATTCGGGAGGTCCGGAGTTCGAATCCCGGCGAAATTTTCACCTTCCTGCATCGATATAACCGAATGATTCTAAAACTATTTAAACGCAGAATATCGCGAGGAATAATGATTATTTATGCCGAATAAGTTTACGAAGAGGACGGTGAATATACGCTTTTGAAACATTTTTTTTCTATGTTAGAACTGTTTCTGTACAACTACTTTGCACTTAAATGTGCATTTTCTTTTGGTAAGTAAAGGAAAGTTTTATTTTTAAGAATTGTTCCTCAGAGATAAATATTAAAAAAATCTTGCTTTGTAATGTTATTGGACAAAAAACATTTTTAATTCCTAACTTCAAATGCACAAACATTTCTCTTCTAAATATAAGACAGGTAACTAACTATATAACGAAAATTTTCTGTTTTCAGGGTGTTAAATATACTCCAGAATTCCGAACGATTTTCGAAGGTTTTCAACTGCTCTGGGGGCAGCGGCATGAATCCCATTCACAAATGTGCTTATTTCGACTGAAAAACAGACGGACATGGAATTTTCCTCCCCTATACAGAAATACCACTGTATATTTCTGTTCTTAAATTCTCTGAAAACATATCGAATGTATAAGATATTGTACTCTTTTGTTGTTATTACAGGCCGTCCTGGTCTAGCCGTGCTACACAAGTCTAGAGTTCTGTTCCTCTTTAGCACTTCTAGATTAGTGCAATGTAGGATCTAAATTAGTGAAATATAGAAGCTGTGTATGGCCTAAAACAGCACTTCTTAAGACTTTTGATTCGTGATTTAAGACTCTTTATTCATGACTATTTACCAGGGATCGTGAAAAAAATCATCGAGATTTTTTCGCGATCCCTGGTATTAAATATAGAATTAATAAAGACAAATAAAGATATAAAAATAAATATTTTTTCATAAGTAATTTATTTCTTTGTTAAACAGCATGCATATATTATAAAAAGAAGTAATTCCAGGATTTGTTTTAAATATTCAAAAATTAATGAAACAAAATCACGTTTGAATGAGACAGATGTGTTTTTTTTTTTTTGCTGCATCAAAAATTAAAGCTTGGTGCAATATTCAATGCTGCTGGGCGTAAAGCGTCTTCAGCGTTTTTAGCATTGAACAATATTTGAATTTAATAAGCATTAAAGCTGAGAAAAAACATTTCACATAAGCACCGGATCTCAATAAAAGCACCGGATTTAATATGACTGAAAGAATACTTGGTACCGAACCGGTAACACTGGCATTTTATTATTATTACTTCATTTCGCAGCTTCCTTGCAGCTTAGTCGACATGAAGCATTACCCGAAGGAACAACGAGTTTTGACTGTGAAATTTCATTGTAAGGATTGAAGAATGTTATGTTAGAAAACTTCGTATAATCTTTGGACGTGGAAATGAAACAGCAGTTCGCAGAGTGATAAAAAAATTTGGGAGCACAGATTTGACTGAAGACATTAAATTACCACACTCTACATCCAGTTCATTTATTAAAAAATATCGCTATTTTGCGTAATAGTGTTCTTGCAAGTCCCTAAAAATCCGAATTTAAAGCGAAACAATAAAACCACTTAAAGAGTAAACTGAACTTGTCATTAACCACCCGATAGGCAGATATGTGAAAAAATGAATTTCATTGAGAGTGAACGGTACTGCAGAGCAAGTCGTAAAAAACATACGCCAAACATTATTTTTTATTCTTCAATCCGGATACTTACCTTTTGTAAGTACGTTAAAATATTTTCATTTTCTGAAAATAAAAGTATTTAATTGGCATATTCAATCCGGAGCTTTTATTGGGACGCCTTATACGTGGTTCTTGAATAGTAGAAGAGCATTTAATGCCATTTCAGAAATTGTTGGAAATTCAGTTCTATCTCCGATCCATAATTCAATCAAGATATTTATAGAAACTCAAATTTTAAATTTGAATTGAATCACCCGACAGCTCAATAAATTCCTTTTGGGATTTATATTGTAAGTGATAAATCTCATTAATCCCAATTGATATGATTTCTTTAAGAGTCTCATTAATTTACCTTCTTTAAATTCATGCATCAGAATTAAATTTTCGCGACCCCAACATTACGCTTTGCAAGCCCAACTGGGTCCGCGACCCACAATTTGAGAAACGATGCTCTAAACACGCAGGGGAAAAATTCTAAATGATTTTGATGCGAACATCAAATAACAGTATACTGAAAAATTCTAATACAACACGAATTTCAAATAATTAAGGATATAAAATGGTACAGGAGTTTTGGTGTCTACATGAATAAACATGGCATTTTAGTCGGCTTGTCTAAACATGACTACGCTTTTGGCAAGGCAATTTGTGTCTCGCCCATGAAACCTAGTGCATTCTTTGGAATAATTTTAGGATATGAGTCATCATTACAGGTAATTTTCGTATTGCATTATCGTCCTTAGAGAAGATAGAGCTGTTAAAACTCTGTCATAAAAGACTTAAGCAATAAGTGTTAAAACACCATTAACTTATAGCAATAATGGTTCAGTTAAAAAATGATCGGTTATCTATAAATCACTTGAAATATCGTATATTTCTAAAATATAACCCACTCGAAAGCAACTAGTAAGATTTGCTGCAAAAATTTGGCAAAGCCTTAAGCAAAGGACTTTCTTTTAGGTTTCTAGGTGCGGTACCTATTCTCAAGTAATCACAACATCCCCTACCCCTTTCACTTGCATTCTCGCTTTTAAGATTAAATTCTCAGTTTTTTAAATAAACCGAACAAAAGGGTTATATGTTTAATTAGTTTTAAACAAAGAATTCTGATTTTTGCTAAGCAATGCTATGGACGGAACTGAAAATGGTAGTATTTATGAGACAGGTGCCTCTAGCAGAGGGAAGCATATTCAAAATTCGCTAGAATATTCTGAGTCAGATGCGAATTTCATAAATATATATTAGAATTAAATAATACATATATATATTCAATTACTTAATCTATAATATTATTTTTGTAATCAAATTATTTATTAATCATTTAACTCATATATAAGCTGACCTACGAAATTCAGTGGTAAAAACATTGCTAAAAGTTTTCGGCTTACGCACGAAAATATAGATAGGATAGATATATATTAAATCACATCCTTTAGAGCATCCTTAAAACCTATAATAAACCACAGAAACACTTGAATTGCATTTAAATTGTTCTCTTAATTACACAATATATAATTTTAATTTGAAGGATAAATTAATGAACGTATGTTACGCCGAATGGCAATGTTTGTGAGAACTAGGAATTTTGTCAGCCGCATAAATGATAAATAGCTCGTTAGTGAAACAATGCAACATAGTGGGGTATGAAAAATGGAAAGCCTAATATACTATAAATGTCTTTAATATCGAAACATCCGGGGATACTTAACACTAAATGACCTCGGAGTTTAAAAACTTTTAACTAGTTAGAAGAATCGAAGAATTAAGTTTTGTTGATCAACCTATCAGCAGTATTTTCCTTAACTTTATTATGAAATAGAATTCATTGAAAATGAATACTTCCGTTTGATGACATTTGTAAAAAAGAAGTAGGTGCAGTTATAAATATCTTAGGATACGAGGCGTGCAAAGGTTGAAACTAAGCATATTGGAAAGGTCTTCATGACTTCGGGGATCTTTTCCAAAGAAATCTTGTTCAAGTGGAATTTTGTTGAAGATTTGCTTATCACATTTTAGAGGAAATCATACGAAGTATATTTCATTTTACATAAAAATATATCAAATCATTTTATTGAAACAACCAAAAAGTTGTAACTTACAAAACTTTAAAAAAATTACAGAAGCATTATCAAAATTTGATACATATTCATAAAATTTGAATATTACTTATGCAAAGACTGAGAAAAGTTTCAATAGCCACATTTTTCTCACTATTGGTCCTCAGGAAAATTGTAGGAAACGAAAAGCAGGCACTTTTTAATATGGAAACACAAGCAGTCAAGGGATACATATTTTAAGCCTTGGGTATAAATGTACCATGAAAGTCACCCGGCACAGAAGCACCCGTAGAGAAGGTGACTCTCCCAATTTCTTTCATTGTTTTGGCGCTTAAAACTAACATGGAAACCTTGGTTTCGTCATCTCTATATAGAAGAGAGGCTAATATAATACCTAGAAGGAAAAAAAATTACTTTTTAGATTACGCATGTATCTCACCTTTTGAATGTATCTCTTATTTTTATTAATCATACTTAAAAAGTGATTGAAAAATAAACATCTGATTATAGCATATAAAATAAATGAGTAAATTTGAACACGTATGTTAAGGGAATACGTAAATAAAATATTTATTTATGTACAAAATCCAAAATGTAAATATACATAAAAGAACAAAAAGTCATTTTAGCATGTTTAAAAACAGTTCATATACTGAATTTATGACAAATAAAATACACAGTATAAAGTACCTCAGTTTCCTTATGTGTAAAATTTGGCAATTTTGGGCACTTTTGTCGTTTACCGTACATAATTATTATGCATTTAGAGCACATTGAAATTTAACTATTTCGAAAATTTGAAATGGATCACCTTTTAGAAAATAGTGTAAAATAAATACTAGGGTGGAAAAGCATAGCTTATGAAAAAAAAAAAAAAAAAAAAAAAAAAAAAAAAGCTATTCAGTGGAATATTGTACTTAATATTTATGAAATACCTGATAAACTATTGCCAGAGCATAAAACTGAAACTGAGCAAAATACAGCGATTCTATCCGATAGTAAAAATTACATTTCTTTAAAAACTACAGCATTTCATGACTTAACTTTAATTACTATAAATAAGTTCCACAACACAACGTATATTTCGATAATAAATAAAACCTTTCTTAACGAGCACCTCTAAAATTGGACATTATTTCTGGGAACATCATAAAGATTGGTACAGAACATTTTGAACACTGGTTCTGAACACCTTCGACAGTCATATTCTCTCTGATGACCAACATAACAAAAGACTGAAATCTTCAGAAACGGTTCTGAACATCTCCGACAGTCATATTCTCTATGACCACCCCACCATAACTAAAGACTGAAATTCTTTGAAACCGGAAAGTATGTTTGGATGATTTAATTATAACACGAGAACAACTGAAAAAAATCTAATCAAGTGTATTACATAAATAAAGTAAAGATAATGCTTCAAGTAAAGTTTCCCACCCACAGGTGCTGAAATTATGTCGTTCGGCATTGATTTCGAAAAAAAAAAAAAAATCCACGATCACTAAATACTAATTATGTGTTAAAATAAAGTATAATTTGTTTTCTTTCATTGCTAACGACTCGGAAATGGATGTATAGAGAAATTAAGATGACACTGATATGCAGAAAAGACATTGCAACAATTTAAATTCAACAACTGAGCTCATGATTTGAGTTTGCCTAAGTACATCAAAAAGAGAAGAAAAATCATAACGTAATTAATTATTTAAAAAATTAAAAATAATATGCAAATAAAGATGACATGTGCAACACTGTTCTGCGATTAAATCAGACTTGCAGAAACATCAATCAAGGAAAAAAATGTATTTTTTTATGTTAATTACTTATTTATTTTTATCTGTATGCTGTGAACCCTAATAATATCAAAGCCATGTTTTATATCATTTTTTAGTATTTTTCGGTAAATAAAGAGCATTTTTTGTTTTAAAATAAAATTGCTAATTATTTCCATGCATAAAAATTATGCATTTCAAAGTTGTGTCAGAAAATATAATTTTGTTCCGGAGGTACGTCCATCAAAACAGCGCTCAAATATTTCACCATCTATACTATTAAATTTTATGCACGTCCGTCTGTTTGTTTATTTGTAGCATAATCTTCTCCGGAACGGCGGAGAGTTGAGTTTCGAGGGATGTACCCCCTCCTCCCCCGGATTC